AAAACCCAAACAACCAAACAAACCCAAACAACCAAGCAAACACCAAACCAATCACCACAGCCCACTAAAAGGCACACTAAGATGAAAGAGCTACCATTACTAAAACTAGATAGGAAAGCCTTTCTGGTCAATGCAAACTGTGTTGAACTGTTCATTTAAGGAACACTTAATGCTCAGCTGAAAAGTCAGCTAGCTGCTTTAGATTCGTGGTAGACTTTGATATTTAATATTAGCAGTAGGCATGAAACTAGTTGGAAGAAACTTCTGTTTTCAAAGTTATGTTTATTCCCTGTTTACTTAATCCAACTTGCCTTAGCATATCAAGCCACAAATACAGGCTTATTTCTTGTTTGGAGAAAGCATGCACCGAATAGGTTATGGCTCAGGATCTTGAGAGCCATAAAATACAAGGTCATGCTTTAAATTCTCTTAGTAGAGGATCTGACAAACCTTTCCTGTTTGAATTAACCTTTGCTGAAACATGAGGCTTTCAGTTTTACTGTGTGTTTTACCTCCATTCCACCTACCACTGCTTTTTTGTCATACATAAATACCACATTGTAGTTTGTCCATTTTAAGAAAGTGAGAATTTTCTTGTTTCCTTCTGATCTGATACAGACAATCCAAGCAGTGCTGACTGGAAAGTAGTGCCTGTTAAGGACAGAGTGCTGGGGAAGCTACAGAATAATCCTCACTAAGAGCACAGACCTGTGAGGAAGACATTCCACTTGCTATGGAAGAGCAACACAAAGCTATGAAACAACACAAAACAAAAAGGCCAAAGCTCAGATGGTAACTTCTGCATTCCTGATACAACCAAAACATTCAATTTTAGCAAAGCAAGTGCAAAAGTACTTAAGACAGACTTTAGAACAACAAACAACATAGAGGTAGAAACTTAAGGAATGAAGCATCTCCATCCCATTGGGATGCTAGCTTTCTGATATATTTAGCTGTTTACTTAGAAACTCCTAGAACTGAGCAGCATGGAACAAAAATAGCCAAAATGATCTTGACTTTTATTCCTTGCAGCTTTCTCTTTTCTCCCTGCCAAAGGATTCAAGACAAGGGCAGTCAATAGGTTCCTCAGCCTCCCGTTATAGACTAGGTTTGCATCTTAGCCTATGATGTTATGCAATAATCAACTACAGAAATACATTTTATCCCCCAAATGAAAACAATACTTTCTAGTAGTCAAGAGCACAGAAACATGCAGGCTGTCTGCATGGTTTGGGTATGCCAACAGCTTTTACATCCTACAGTTTAAGAGGAATAAGCATAGCTATTTGGTCTATTACAGATTTATTCTTTCATAGAAAGTATTAAATTAAACAAATAGCTGTCTCACTTCTAACTTCTTCATAAAGTCTGGATCATAACACTTGATTTCAGACTTCATAATTAGTGCTTTACATTTTGAACTTCTTCGATTCTATCCAGGGAATGCTTTGCAACATTCAAAAATCAACACAATAAGTTTTACTTTTAAAATTGACCATCGTGAATTTTATTTTAATAAAGGTATCAAACTTTGATACTTACTGCACACCTAAAGAGTTGTATCAATCAGAAAACTTCAAATATCATCTATCACTTGCAGCAGATCAACTTTGGAGGGCAATAGTGAACCACATACCACTGTAAAAGTGGTCTTTAAAATAATCTTAAACATATACCACTTATGCAATTCTAATTCTAGGATTATCTCCTGCCTGAAGACTCAAGTTTCTATAGCCACAAAAGTAAAATTTGTGATAGACAGTTAGTATCTTATTCTTGGACAATACACTCTTATTCAGGCTTGCAAATTAAAAAAAAATTAATACATCTCCACTTCAAGGCCAGTCCTGAAACATGGATGAATTCACAATTAAATCTGTTACTCAGCAGAGCTGACATGATCACGTACTAAAGATTCAAACAAATACAACCCTTATTCCTGAGGAGATTTGTTCAGCTTAGGCATTTTTGCTTGGCTTATTAGAATCTTTAGAGAGTTTAGCTCCTCCTCCCCTAATGAGTTGAGAGAGTTCTGTAATAATCTTCCTGCAAAAATAAAGGTTTATTTCTCCTGGGCAGCAAACATAATTTCTACTACTGCACAGCTGTCTCAGAGGAGCTCCAAGGGGCTGGCTGTTCCATCTCATTTCTGGAACAGCTGCACCATATGGTGCTGTGCAGAACCCTGCAAGTTGACTAACTCCCTTTCTGAAGGTCTCCTCACACTCTTCTGCAATGAGTCTTGACAGCAAAATTTTTTTTAAGTTCAAGAAGAGCACGGATTACAGTGATTATTGTTATTGTACGCACCGTACATTAAAGATGTCAGGCAGACTATCTTTTTCCAAGCGAATCTATTTCGCATAGGTGTGGTTATAATTGCAAAGAGGAAAAGCAAGATGTTTGTTAATTAAACTAAGTTTTGAATATCATGAGGTGCTAGATTGCACCGTGCGGCTGCAGAAGCAGCAGGAGCACCCCGAACCTGTTACACGTGTGGAGAGCCCCTCGGGCAGCACGGCCCTGCGGCTCTCCGGGGCAGGCAGGAGATGCCCACAGAGCGGCTCTGTGAGGTACCAGCGCTCCGGGTGTCACTGCGAGCCATCTGAGCCGCACACACGTACCTTCCCATGAGTCCAAGGAAAGCAAATTGGGAACACCGAGAGCTAAGCGACAAGGAGCGCCGGTGTCATGAGTCCACAGTTACAACCCCGCACAGCCAGAGTATAAATTACTCACGTCCAGCACGGTGATGTCATATGCACACAATCTTTGTAATTCTTAATTCCCTTACTCCCCACACACCCTCTTCCTTCCTCCTGTTCAACAGAGACTGGAAATGCAGCAGCTTTTACCATCTGCCCGAACACTACGGCCGAGTCACGACTCCATAGTTAGGGAGAAAGGAGCAGCAAGACTTCTCCGCCTCAGCCAGGAGCACACGGGGGCTCTGCCACGTTCTCCTCTTGTTCCCCGACCCCCTCTGCGGGATCCGGGCAGGGCCGGGCGCTGCCCGGCAGGGGAGGCGCTCCCGGCCCGGGCGGGGACTCGCCGAGCGGCCCCAGGCTCGTCCCGCGGGCGGAGGTCCCGGCCCGCAGCCGGACCCGCCGGGGCAGTGCCGGCGCCGTGACAGCCGCGGGGAACTTTGGCTGGGGCGCGGCGCGGGCCGAGCCCCGCGGGGCCGGCGGGACCGCGCTGCCCCCGCCGCCGGACAAAGGGGCCGCGCCTCGGGCCGCCGGTGCCCCCCGGGTGCCCGCCCGCGCGGAGCGGGGGCACCGAGGGCACAGGGATGCGGTGCCCGGCGCTCCTCGCCCGCCCGCCGCTCACCATCCGGGAACTCCCGGTCGCTGATGTGCTGGAGGTGGGGGCCGCCGCCGCCGCTGGGATCCGAGTCCCCCGACTCGGCCTCCGCCGACCCCGAGCCGCCGCCGCCGCCGCCGCCCGCTGCCGCCGCCTGGTACGCGTCCGCCCAGCGATCGGGCCCCGGCGCTGCCCCGCCGCCGCCGCCGCGAGCCCGGCTGAGCTTGGGGCTGGCGTCCGGGGATACGCAGCAGGTGACGGTGTTGCCCATGGAGCTCGGAGCTCCCCCGCCGGGCCCCGGCTGCGCGGCTCCGGGCTGGGCCGGGGGAGGGGAGGCGGGCGCAGGGCGGGTCGGAGCGCGGGGCGGGCTCAGCGCCTCCGCCCCCGCCCCGGCCGCGCGCGGCCCCGCCCGCCCCCACGGCCGCGCGACCGCCCCGCCGCCTCCTGCACGCGGCGAGCACAGGCCTCGCGCGAGCGCCCGCCGGAGGGAGCCCGGGCCCCGCCCCGCCGCCGCCCAATCGCCTGCCGCCGCGGCGCCGCGTGACGGCCGCTCCCCCAATGGGCGCGGGGCTCGTCACGCGGCCGCCGCCGCGCCCTCCCCGGCCCGCGTCTCCGCCCTCCCCTCCCCGCGCCTTCCCCACGCGCACGCGCGTACGCACCGCCGGCCGCGAGGCCTCAGACGCGCCCCCGTGGCCACGCCCGCTCGGCCCCGCCCCCGGGGGGCTCGCGTTGACCCGGCGTGCACGTGCCGCGGGCGCGTTGGGAGCGGCCGTGCGGGAATGGGGGACGGCGAGGGGGACAGCCCGGAGGGACAGGAGGGGGACAGGCAGGGGACAGCCACTCGCAGGAGCACGAGCCACAACGCCCGCGCTGCCCCGGCGGCAGCCCCTGCGCAGCCCTGCGAGCTGCAGCAGCCCGTGGCCGGCCTCTCCCCTCCCTCTAAGGGGCTGAAGGGCTCCCGGGCCGGGGCGGCCGCTCGCCGGGCGCTCCGCTCCTGCCGTGCGCGGTATCCGTCCGGGAATGCCACACTGCACGGGGCCGCCCGCATCCCCAGGGAGCACTCAAAGTCCCCAGCAGCTGCAGATTCGCTTGCTGAGTTTCAGCTACCTGAGAGCTCCTCAGAGGACTGGAATGTTCAAATACACTCCAGGGAAGATGGATTAGAGGGCGAGATACCCACAGCAGTCAGAGGCCCTGATAAAGGCAAACATGCGTTGTTCTGCAATGAAACAACCCACTATCGCTACAAAAATTTAACTCTGGCCCCCGATAAGAAGAATGGCTCTGCAGAAGACTTAGGAACACACAAAAGTATTACAAAACTCTGCTATCATGCTGGCAGTTATTCCAAAGATAAGCAGGCTCAGGATTTTACTCCATTTTGTAGGAAAAATCCCCATGTTGGCTCTCCCATGTGATGAGAAACACGGGAGTTTTTGGGCAAACCATGTGTAGTTTCTTTGAAGAGAGGAAGTCAGAGATGCTGTGTTTCCAGAATTTGTACAACTTAATCCCAGGCACAATAAAATGACAGACCAAATGATTTATAGTCTTATATGAGGATTATTCCCTCAGACTGATGAATGATACCTTTTCACTTACCAGCAATTTCTCTAAACTGTGTTAGCTAAGCCTGTCTGCATGCTACTGACAGTTTGCAAAGCCTTGTTACTCCAGAGGAATCTGACCTTGCTGTGGATTACACCAGGGCCTTGGGGAAGATTTGCTTTCAGCTCTTCCTGAACCACTTCAGGCCAAATGAAGTCCTTCTGCAGCCTCTGCACTCTGCTTGGAAAGCTGTAGGCCAGCCAGTCCTGCTCCCAGTTCTAGGAAGGGCCAGGGTGGAACAAGAGACAGACCTGGGCCAGGGAGAGAAAAAGGGGTTTCATCAAAATAGCCATTGAGAGATTGGTGTTTTCTTCCCTCTGGCATTGCACTCACTGATTTTTTGTGAGCATGGTGGGAAAAAGAAGAAGCTAGAGGGTTGCTGTGACTTATTGAAGTAATTAATTCTCAAGCAAGAATAAGAGTTGGCTTGCATCTGCACTCTTTAATATGAAAACTGGCATAATTTCCTCTTGCACGAGAAGAGCAATACCTTCCCTCACTCTTTGCACCTGGGTGACTATTTTCAGAAGCTGGAGAGGCTGAGCAAGCTGCAGTCCTGCTGCACTACTGGGCCCCTTCCAGGGGCTCCATGCCGCTGGAGGTGAGCTGCTCCAGGCAGAGCAGTGCTGGGAGGCACAGGCAAACCTGCACACCTCAGCAGGACAGCAGCCATGCCCAGGGTCCGTGCCTAAAGCCAGTCTGCCTGCTCCTGCAGCCGTGGGCTGTGGGGCTGCCTGGCTTCGGCAAAGGGTGCTGCAGCTGAGCAAGTGCCTCGGGGCATCCCAGCAGCAAGCTGGGACCTCTACTGACCCTCAGCTTTGGAGCAGCCTCGAGGAAATCCTTTGCCAAAGCTGCGGTTTGGGCAGTGGAAAATCCTTGTTCAAGGGTGAGGAAGTGAGCAGGAGTGGCTCACTGGGCAGCTGAGCACCAGGACCCAGCCTTTGGGGCCAAGAGCCAAAACCCACGTACTTGTGCCGATAGGTGAAAAATGCTGGGAACTCAAGAGTGGCCGGAGTGTGTGATGTGCTGCACTGCTACTTGAGTGTGAAGGTTTTGGTTCCTCTGCCTCACAGAGGCTGAAGTTTCTGTGGGTTTCATACTTGTTCTCAGTGTGCAATTCTGCAAAGGGGGAGAGACGAAGGCTGCTCTTCCCCTGCGCTACTGCTGTTGTGGACTATCAGGATTTATACAAACCTGCAGAGGGAGGAAAGAAATCAGTAGTCTGTTTCCCTGTGAGGACTTATTCATGTAGGTCTTAAGCAAGAGGAAGCTGAATTTAATCCCTGGAAGTCACAGAAACAGCAAACTGTTCCACCTCCTTGTCATTCCAGAAGTTAAGCTTCCGCTTCCACATACCTCAGTACACCAGTAAAGAGTAATTTTCCATATCTGTGCATGTTTTCATTTAGCTGCAGTGATGAGAAATATTCATTTCCCGCTCCATTTTGGCAAAGTAACTCTTAAAGTCTTAATTCAGAGCTGACTTACCAGGATAATATGACAAAACCTGTTGCTGTGTGTATTTTCTGCAGAACCAGGTGATCCTGTTAATAGGTGTAGTCTGAACAATGCCCTGCAGAAATGAGACACATTGTCTTTTACTTAACATTCTATTGACTTACTGCTATAGCAATACACTGAGTACCCTTTATCATTACTTGATACTGGTCCTGGTTCTCTTCCTATTTTCTGTCTCATCTTTCTACTGTTCTGCTTGATTTACCCCAGTGAATCATCAGACAGTTTCCATTATTAAAAAAAATCAGTTACTCATGTACAATGGGCAGATCCACATTTTGCATAAGCAGGCATTTTGGAGGGTGGATCGTGGCAATACTGAATGCCTGAGCTGAAAATAGCTTACTACGGACTGTTGGGATTCAACCTCTTTTCCCCCTGCCCCAGAAAGAGATGTGTGTGCCATGGGACTCTCAATTACCACCCCTTGTCTCTGAGCAGGGCACCCACTGGGCAGCAACCCTCCTGTGCTTCAATTTTCACAAAAAGGAAAGGAAAGTAACTTTCAAAAATGTGAGAAATGAATCCTAATTTAAGCCCTCTCAGGAAGTTGCTGCAAACTTCAGGAGAGCTCCACACAGCCTTTAAAGAAGGCCAGACAGCACCTTGAAACAAACCCTAAATCAGATTGTGATGACAGCCAAAGCAGTAGTGACCTCTGCTACTAATATGCAGAGATTAGAAAGACCTGTGGTTTATTCTGAATATACAAAGGACCAGACTTGCTCCTCATGTTAGTCTAATGAGGTTAGAGGAGCAATACCCTGCCAACTACTCCAAGTGAGGAGCACACCCTGCCAACCACTAAATGCAGCTTCTGAGCTATAAACTTAACTATATGTATAATTATTTGCAGGATGCATAATAAATGAAGACTACCAGGCTTGACACGATTAATATTAGTGCTACCAGCTGTGTTTTGGCTTGTGGACTTGCAGGGGTAGGTAATTCTGTCTCTCTACTTGGCCCATTTGCTGAGTACATGGGAGCTGCTGTTTGCTGGCACTTCTCAGACAAGTCCTTACATTTCCTGCAATGGTTCCTCATAGAGTGGTGCAGGTTTTTAAGTCCCTCTCTGAAATCTCAGCATTTGCATTCACATCCACACAACTCTGTTGTCCTTTGCCTCATTATGCAAAACCAGGCTACCCTTCATCTGCAAGCAGCAGTATCCCTAAGAGGAGATGTCTGAAGCCAAAGTTACCAGCTTCTTTATGAGTAACAACTCTTGAAAAATTCCCAACTCCAAGCATATGTTCTTGTCCACACCAACTGCAACAAGAAGATGAAAGTCTTCTAAAAGGCTTGAAATGAAATTGCAGAATTTCCTGTAAACTATCCAGCTTCACAGTCACCATCAGTCCCAGAAATGGAGAATGGCTCATTGCACACACTTGGTTGTGCTTCACAGGGCCGAGAATCTTAAATCCAGTAAACTCTGCTGTTATCTTCACCCTGACTTGGTACTGCACATGCCTTTCCAAGGTCATGCACCTCCTTGCCTGTCTGCAGGGTGATGACACCAACTCTGGGATGTGTTTTGTTCAATTTCTCTCTTCTTAGAAAGTGTCACAGCTGGGGGAGGAGAGCTTTCTGATCTTACTTGGATAACTTGGAGAAGAGCCAGGGCTTTGTCTTTTCCTGGAAATGCAACTGCAGGAAGAATGAATCACCAGGTTGAACCTGTATAACCAACTGAAAACAAAAGCTCAGACTTCTGTGTCTCAGTTGGAAATAATCGGGGGAAAAATAGGCATCCTGTTTTGAAAACCACTGCCAGCTGACAGGACAAAAATGTTGCACGTGTGATGTCTTTTGAAGCTGACAAGTAACCTAAGACTACAGCCATTTAAGGGAAAAATCCCTGAGCAAAACAGGAGTCAGGGAAATAGAATATTCCAATGTTTGGGGGAAAAAAGTAACCAGGGAGGTTATTCAGAACACCCAAGGTGGATTTTTAGTAGCCCTAATGTTTCACGCACTATTAAATCTCCTGTACTACCTTGGCTTGCAGTGAATACAAGCAAACCAGGGCTGGGGAGCTGTGTTTGATAGCATAAGGACAGACTGCAGTGCTGCTGTCATTGATTAAACCCCTCCTTTTGCCTTTGCTGCAATCTAAGATGTCATTACAGGCAATGCAGAAGCTGCTTGGCTGGCATGTGAGCATCTGGATGGCTGCAGGGATACCAACAGCACAGGCATGTGGGAGTAAACCTGTCTTTATCTTAGCTTCTCTCTTCTGCTCCTGCCTTTGTTTTGTCTTCAGGTAAAATAAAACCAGCTTGACAGTTACCAAAGACTAAGTTCATGATAATGGAGGCTTAGTACCTGAGAAGAAAATTTGAGATGAGCTGGAGCCAAGACGGAGGCCTGCAAAGCTGTATTTTGGGCTGGCAGAACCACCACTTTGATTTATCAAGTATTAGAAATACTTGATTTCTTCTGTGGAAAGATTTCTTTCTTCCACAGATTTCTTCTGTGGAAAAGGAAAATGTTTTTCAGTATTTTAACACAAACTTTAACATGACTAGCTTTTATCAGAAAAGTCTAACTGTGCTTGTGTAAGTCCTGCAGCAAGCTTATTTAGGGTAACATTCTGCAGTTCTAATTCCAACTCTGGGCCACCAAAGCCTGGACAGCAGTGCTAAGGGACCCTCCTTGTTAGTTTTAAGGTGCCTGAAATTGTTTAGACTCAACTCTTCCATCTTCTCTATCGTCTGATGGATTTTCTTTCTAAGGACTCAAGAAGAGAAACACTGACAATACCATTAGAAATGACACTAAATCCCCCACATCTTTCATATGCTTGGATTCTTCCTTCTTTTAAAAAGGTAACAGCTGCACTGAGGGAAATGCTTTTGCATCTATATGAATGCTATAGCTGTTGTCTGTATGTTCATATAATTGTTTTAAAATTGTTTAAAATTAGTTGTTAACTAGTTTTAAATTAATACCGGGCATTGCTTGCACTATAATTTCATCTCAAATTGCAAAACACTACACCTATAGAATATATCACAAATTTCTCCACCTAATGTTAAGCTTCTAGATCCATACTCAGACTCCACAAAAGGAAGGTTTTTGTAGCATTTTCCCTGCCCCATGTCTGTTCCATTTCCCCACCACAGCCCAGTGCCCCTGGAGTGCTGCTGGAGCAGCCTTTCCCATGTCTGCTCACGTGTCAGTCTTGCTCCATGGTTATGGACTCTCCCCTCCCAAGACCCAGCAGTAGCATCTCGTGGCCTGGAGGTTCAGCAGCTGGAGATGTGGGTAAGGCTGTAGGTCTGTGAACATCTGAAAGTGGGGGGAGGTTTCCAGCAAATGAAGTGCAATTGGAAATCCAGTGGTTAGTTGTGAAGAAGAGCTTTCTCAGTTTGCTTTTTGTTCCTTAACTGAAACTTCAGAACAATGTCTGCTTTCAGACCTGCAAGGCCTTCGAGAGCTCACTCACATAATTCTAATAAAAGCGAAGTGATCCTTCTGCAACAAGACATTTAAATAAATGTGGTGATTATATATGGCAGTTTTTCAAGAGGCAAGGTTGAAGGCATAAATGTACTATTACTGATAGGAACAATTCCCTTTTCAGACGTTCCAGAAACTTCCTGTGTTTCAGCTCAAGCACTTATGAAATGACACATCTTCATATTTTTGATCATTACTTCCACTGTTTAATGTAATTCTGTGTGTAAAGGAAATGAAATGCTAGATTGGATTATACATTTATTTCAAGATTTCACTTTTTTTGCAAGGATCTTGCAGAAGCATCAGGTTCTAAGGTCTACTGATAACACACCAGTTTCTGCAGAAAAAAAAGTTTTCATTTTTAATTCACCCCATCAGTTTCAAAGATGGTCCAAATCACTTCAAGCTGAGGCTGTCTCAATTCTGCAACCGCAAGCTGTCATCAACCAAATTAATCTCTGCTTTATTCCCTTTGTATTTAACAGCAAGTGATTCACCACCCCATCTATTTTACTGATGTGGAGAATCTGGAAGATTCTTCTACTGGTGAAGATGAAAATGTAAAACTTGTTAAATCATTTCAGTGCTAGTCATTTGAATGGCTCCTTACAGTGATACATAGGGAGAAAGACTGCTTTCTTTTCTGGGTTTTCCTCCATGCTTTGTGCTAGTTCTTGTTCACTTGGTTGATGAAAGCTCTTAGCAAAACAGATATTTTCCCAAACTTTACTTCCAAGACAATTTTCATATTTCAGTGGAATGACAACCAGAAGTAGCTGCTGTTTATTTTGGGAGGAAAGGATTAAGCCAGAAGTTTCCACACAAATGCAGAACAGAACCATTTGGAATAAGGCGTTGCTGTCACAGGGTTATCAACAACACAGGTTTCTAGATAGAGTTTTAAAAAAATCAGATTGTTTCTATTTATATCTGCCTTTGCCTTGGTAACCAGAGACTGTGTGAGGGATGCAGTATTTTCCCATCATGGATGTCTCCAAAATCCATGCGCAGACATGCAGTGCACCCAGTGTCTGCAGAGCTACCGCAAGAACTGGCACATTCTTTTCTAAGAGAGGATTTTACATACTAAGCAGCAAAGAGAAGATTGCAGTAAGAGTTATATTAGTATAGATTCTAAATAATTTGTACTCATTTCTGTCTTACCTACCATGTTCTTTGATCTTTTAAGTATTTCAAGGACCACTGTGCTTAAACACTTTTTCTTAATCACCCCGAGCAGCTTACCCAAATCCGAGGTGGTGGGATTTACTCATAATTGGCTACATTATGCCTGCTTTATCAAGTGGTTGAATGAGGTAAGAATGGACTTGAATCTGTGTTTCTTCATACTTTAAATCATTCTTGCTTACCTTAAAATCAGCTGTTTCCTACTTCACAAGATTACCTACAGCTTAGGTGTCCTTGCAGCCCTCTGCAGTGCTCAAAAGCCAAACCAGGCTATGTTCTCACCACTGCACTGCTGTGCTGAGCTTTAGCCCTGCTGGGAGAAAGGCATTCCAGCTCTGGATATCTGTTTTAGCCACAATTCTGTGTTGTTGGGTTCTTCTTATCCTTTTACTGTCAGGAAAGGTAGAAGAAACCAAGTGTGTCTCTCTGTCACCGTAACACCCAGGTACTCCATTTTATTAGAAAATGGATGTGGTAAAATGAAGAGAAGGTAAACATAGGCTCAGAATGAATATGGGAAATCAGGGCCCTTACTGAACTTCTAGTGGACTTGCTTCTCTCTTAATAGCTTCACTACCCAGTTATGATCTGGAAAGTAATTTCTGATCTTCTGTCTAAGGCTCATGGAAGTCAGTGGCAGAGCAACATTGTCAGGGAAGAAGGGGAAATATTTCTGGGAAGCAGGGCAGGATTGGTAGAGAACCTGCTGTGCTCCTGAGATATTCAGGGATATCTGACTAATAAAATCACATTATTGGGATAAAAGCACTCACTGCATTGTCATCTTTGGGAACAATACATTTTCACATGCAGCCTTTTTTTACTCTAGTTGCTATTCAGCTAGACACTTGCTCTTATGAAATACTGCAGGTGAAGAAAACTCATCTGGGGACAGAAAGGAGGCAGTGGGAGCACTGGAGCCCTGCCTCACTCCTCATATTCTGGCTGGAGATCCCAGGGCTGGCATATGGTGCAGGAGGTGGAAGCTTTGTGCCATTTGGGAGTTTCCTTCTATTCGCCTGCTGATGTAGTTTAGGCAGAATGTAGGTGACACAAAAAGTCATTCAGAGTTCTTGTTTCAAATGTAATGACTCTCATTGCTTTTTTTCCCACACTGCCTATATAAATAATTAAAAAAAATAATCAAGATAATAGCACAAGCAATTTCAAACTCTCAAAAGCAGGAATAGTGGCAAGGGACCAGCACTTTAGGACATAAAACCACAGAAAACTGAATCATCACACCTGTTCTGGCATGTTTATAGGGAGAAGTCTGAGTTGCCCTAAGACAAGTATGGACTGGTTTGGGGCAAGTGAAATTTTGGGTTCCATTGTCCTACAGGAGCAGAACCCTAAAAACAGGCTTTACTCACTGTTACCCCTGTGCTACCTGCAATGATCCTCCACAGAGTTTTTCACGAATCCTGAGCCACTTGACAGTTTTTAGATGTAACCACATTTGCCTTTGACTGCCAGACAGATTTGCTGGTCCCTGTGGGAAAGAGAGGCGATGTTTTCTGGAGCTGGTTACAGTCCCCACCTTCGAGGGGCCGGCCTTGCCTCATGGGTGCTGTTACCGGGAGCTGTCAGGGCACAGAGCCACTGGAGATGGGGCAGAGAAGCTGTGTCCCCTGCCTCTGCCGCCCCGCGCTCCTCTCGGGGCTCAGGAGGAGGCTGCAGGCACTGCGCCTTTTTGTGGGGCTGTGCCTCCAGGCAGCCGGAGCATGAGAGCTGCCAGGACACTTCCCCGGCTCTCCCAGGGCCTTTAGCAGTCTTTGGAGCTAGTTCAAGTAAATAACACAGGAGAGGAGCACTGTGTTGTTTTGCCAAACAAGAGATTAAATGGAGCCAAAGGTGAAGAAACACCGCTGCACAAACAGCGCCGGGGAGCGCTTCAGCCACACGGCCAGCCGAGAGCAGCCCTGGCTGTGCTGCCTTGGACGGAGCTCGACTGAGATCAGCACTGCTGTGCCTGGGCTGGGTACCCAGCGCCTGAGGGAGCGCTCCCAGGCCAGGATGAGCCCCTGCCGAGATACCGTGCCGGCAATGGAGGACGGGGCTTTTGTGCGATGCACAAATGCCTTTTCTGGGCACTGCCTTCCAACCCCCGAAGCAAAAGCCCAAGGCTGGAACGGCAGGGAGGCTGCGGGGATAGCTGATAATGTCCCACGACCATGGGGCCTTTCCCCCGGACCTTTCCGCGTGGCAGCGGCCGTGAGCAGGCGAGGAGCCCCTGCGGGCCCGGCCTCCCTCTGCAGGCAGCGCGGCGCTGCTCCCCTCGGGCCGCCCCGGGGCCTCCCGGCGCCGGCGGCCCCGGCACTGCCTCCCCGCCGCCTTGGCCCCCGCTCCCGCCGCGGTCGGGGGCAGCACCGCTCCGGGGCGCTTCCAGCCCAGCCCAGCCCCGCGTACCCGAGCAGTGACCGCCCTGCCGCGGCAGATGAGCGCTGCCGCTCCCGCTCGGGCGCTGCGCAGAGGCGGCCGCGGGGCCGCGGCGCGGGCGAAGCGGGCGGGCCGGGCCGGGCCGGGGGCCGGGCCTGTCCCCGCGGCGGCTCCGGGGATCTCCTGCCCGCGGCGCGGGGCAGCGCGGGGTTCGGGCAGGGCCTGCCCGGCGGCCGGGGCCGCGCTGAGCCGGCGGCGGGATGGCCTTGGTGCCCTACGAGGAGGGAGGCGGCTGGACAGCGCGGCAGCTGCACAGCCCTTGGGCCACCTTCCACTTCGCCAGCCGCACCATCCGCCTCCAGCAGGACTGGCGGCGCCTGGGGGTGGCGGCCGTGGTCTGGGACGCGGTAGGTGTTCATGGCAAGCGCAGCCTTTCCGCTCTCGGTGGCTTCCCGTGGCTCTTGCCGAGCTTTCAGATTCACCGTAGGAAATTAATTACCGTAGAATTGTAAAGGGAAGGCTTTTAATTTTTTTTTTCATGTTAGGAAAGAATATGTTAAACTATGCTTTACTTTTCCCTCTTCCCCCATAAGAGATCCTGCAGGAATGCAAGAGAGGTGCACCACCCAAACCCTGCATAGCCAGTGCCCAATACAGGAAATACCCCGGATAACTCTCACCTCTTTCTTTACAGTGGCTGGTGATGTTAGCTTGGCACCTTTCAGAGCACAGCACAGATCCAAGCAGGACTGCCGATAGTCTTTATCTTGAGGATAGGAACCGTCCAAAACAGAGAGGTTTGCGATGGGTCCAAGGCCACAGCGCAGTCACTCACAGCATCCCCGCAGGAATCCAAGGGCTTCCCATCGGGGTGGATTTCAGTCCACACGCAGATTGCACTTTTACCTCTTTAAAAGAAGAACTGTAGCATTTTTAGCAAACTTCCCAAATGAATTGGTGTACAGTATTGCTGATCTTTCTGGACATCAGCTTTGACAGAATTTGCTGCGGGAGAGGTCCTTCTCAAGATCTATATAACATATAACATGCTATATACAACCAGCTAGAAGTGTCATTAGTTTACTTTCCCTGTGTCCTTCCTGAGGGCATACCAGTGTTATGCAGAAACCTTTTGAAATACCATACAAGATACTATGAAACCTTATTCTGGGCTTTTGCAGTACTGGGTTCATTTGCTAGTATTTGACAACCCCTCAAACTTCCTTTGAGGAAATTTTTCCAGGTACAATTATTGTATTTCCTTTCCAATACAACTTTTTCTTTCCAAATACAACTCTTTCTACCTCCTGTTAATGTTTGGGGATTCATGGAGCAGTTACCACATCTAAGTTGTAACCTCTGTGGTTCTTTTTTCCTTTTGCCAGTAGGAGTCTTCCATAAAACTCTATAAAAAATTTCCATAAAGCATAAAAAGACTACAGGTGCACACAGGAGGTGGAAAGGTGCTGAACAAAGTTTGCTGCAGACCTGAAGCACCTGACCCTTCCTATAACCTTCTCCCTCAGGTTAAACCAGAAAGCCTGTGTTCAGTATGACTGAAACCCTGTGCCTAATCGTCCTTCTCTCTTGGCTTAGGCTGTTGTTCTGTGTGCTTATCTGGAGATGGAAAGCATTGATCTCAGGGATCGGTCTGTGATTGAGCTGGGAGCTGGAACTGGATTGCTGGGAATAGTGGTCACGTTACTAGGTAAGGGCTTTTTTGTTGTCTGGTTTAAAGCAAATCACAACTGTAGTAAAACTAGCTCTTTTACATGTACATGCCTGGTGTAGAAGTGAGCACCAAAGCTGCGTGTGTGAGCTGTGATGGTTCTGTGGGTCATCTTCCTTCCTGGATAGACTCAGAGCCCGCTGGGTATTTGTTGCAGCCATGGTGCCCCTGCAGTTTACTCCGTGGCGGGACCCTGTTGAGGCTGCTGCCTGTTGCCATGGCAGGCAGCTCAGCAGCATTCAGCTCTGCAGCTATTCCCCCCAGGGACAAGAGCTGTGCTTCCCCTCTTCCCCTTGTCCTCCCATGCAGATAAAGCTACAGACAGAAACCACTCTCTGAGCTTGCAAAAGCCTTTCATTAGCCTGTCTTGCACACAGGGCATGGAGAAATGAAGTGATTTGCTGCTGATCTGTCTGTGGATGAAGCAGGAACTGGGTACTATGTTAAATTTGTGCAATCTTTCCCAGGTTAATTTTGTAATTCAAAGCTCTAGTGGCTGTGAAAGGTGCCTATTGAAATCATAGGAACAAAATAGTTTGACAAAATACAGTCAAGCCATGAAAAATCATACAAGCATAACTTTTGTCTGACCTGTGAAAGACGCTCTCTAGCTGCCTCTCTCCTGTAGAAAAATATGGAATTGGAGCAGGTTAATTGTAATAACATCCCCTGTAATTTATTCTTTTGTCACATATAGAAAGGCCAGAAGTAACTCCTTGACTTTCATGCATTAAGAAAAAGCACCAGAAAATTTGGTTTTTTCCCTACCCAACTTAATCTTCATACACTTTATATTCTTAAGTGACTGATGGAGGGTAGGATGTCCCTAGACAGGGGGGTTTTGCTTATTTTGTTCTTTTATTTGTTTGTTTTCAATCAGGCAGCTCAGAGGAGCTGTTAATGTTTAACAGGACCTAAGGAGCCTGCCGGAGTTAAGCATTGTATTCCACATGCTGCATTGAGGGGTGTGGATTGTGAGTGTGAGCCATGCCCTCCTGTCCCCTTAGGTGCCCGAGTTACCATCACAGACAGAGCAGCTGCACTGGAGCTCCTGGAGTCAAACGTGCAGGCGAACTTACCCCCTGAACTCCGTCCCAGAGCAGTGGTGAAGGAGCTGACGTGGGGAAAAGACCTGGATAACTTCTCTCCAGGAGCATTTGACTTAATCCTGGGTGCAGACATTGTTTATCTGGAAGAAACATTTGCAGAACTGCTGCAGACGCTGGAGCACCTGTGCTCAGAGCGGACGGTGATTCTCCTCTCCTGCCGCATCCGCTACGAGCGCGACCTCAAGTTCTTGAGGATGCTGAGAGAGCGTTTCTCTGTGTCTGAGGTCCACTATGACTCCAGCAAGGATGTTCATATCTACAAAGCACAGAGGGGTAGTCGCAGGGATGACTTGTGACTCTCTGCTTTGTTAATAAGCCACTGATGCTGTTCAATTCTCCCCTTTGTTTCTACTCAATACACTTGTTCCTGAGCATGAAGTTGCAGTTGTGTTATTTCACTGGCTTCTTGTTCTGATGGTCTTGTCTGATCACTGGGTCTGATACAGCAAGGATTGTACTTCTGTTCTGCATATTGAACCTCTGCTTCATATCTGAATAGAGTCATATCCAACATCCAAATTGTTATATCAAAAGGTATGTCGTCTGAAATCAAACCACATTTAACTTCTGGGGGGAAACTTAAAGAGATTACAATGGGGTTTTTTCCCTTTATCGCTGCCTTAACTCTAGAAAAGTAGGAGAGTAGGATGAAATAAAAGTAGTATGAAATAAAAACTAATGCTCCAGCTCTAAATGCTTTAACTCTTCAGGACTTCTGCATCTTAGAAGTTGTGGTAAAAGAAACCACTTAAAAGGCAGAAAAGAACCAAAGGCAGATGCTATAAAGTTGTTTTATTGCTGTCACTACTGCGTTGAGGAGGCACAGTGAAACAAAGAACAAAATCCGGAGGGGCACGGGGAACAGGGGTTGCCAAGTAAGCCAGCTTAAAAATCAGTGTTATTTTTACCTGATTTGCAAGTGAGTGGGCTACACCTGCAGTACTGAAGCAGTTGTGGTTTCTGAGTTGTCCATAACAAGTCTGCCTCATACAGATCAAGACTCCTTGGAGGATATGCCCAGTGCACATGTGCTGCTGGGAAAGTGCAACAAGGAAACTCAAGCTGTTCTTAAAATATCAAATCAGCCCTTGACTCTCAAAGTACCACTAGGTAATGTTCTACTTTGTGCCTTTGTTTGTGCTCCCTCTGTCTCTGAGGGCTGTTACTTAGGGCAGGAGGGTGCTCTGTAAAGTCTTTGCGGCAGGGGAAGTACTTACTCTTGAATTACTTGGGACCTTGGGGCAGTGTCTAGGTTTTAGAGTGCTTTCAGTGCACAGTGGTAGTTAAGACACTGCTCCAAGTAACAGATTTCATACCTTGAGCTTGTAAAACACATCTGTGTGTTTATCCCACAAGATCTGGGAATCCATCTCGCACCAGCAGCAGACTTCCTTCTCTTTCTAGTGGTGGAAGAATGAAATTGATGAAAACAATGGCTAACAGAAAACAGCTACACCTCTAAACTTCGGAATTGCTTTAGTACCCTTTTTTGTGTGTGTGGATGTGGAACTTTTTTTGCTTTAAACTTAAACTCAAAAAGCCAAAGTTCAGGCTCAGACTTTGAGCATGTGTAGGTATTTGACACTGGCAACAGCAAACGGCTCAGCAGAACAAAGCACCTTTGGGCCACGGGCATTTTGGAAGTTTTTGTCACTTTTGCTTCCATCATACTTCCTGGTCGGTGGTCCAGAAGTGCTGTGCTGACTGTAATGTGGAAATGACACATTTGTCATTAAGGTTTGAGTTTTATCTCTGGCACATCTCTTGCATGTTTTCAGCGAAGTTCCTTGCTTGGCATCAGACCCGTCTGGAGTTGCTGTTCCGGAACACTTGCTGTAACAGTATCCTCAGAAGCCACATGGTGTCACTAAAACAGTGCTTAGGCAGCTGGCTGGGAATTCGCAGCCTGAAACTGGAGTTGGAGTCAGTTTGGGGGAAGGAAGACAGCACCTTTAATTGAAAACAGATTCTGAAATGAGCTCTCACGTGTCAGGTGTAGCTCCTTCTGTCCTCTCAGCTGGGTGAGCAGTGCTTGAAAAGAATTATGAGCTCTCCTCCCTCTCTCCAGCTCTAGTTTTGGAAGTGTGGCTGTAAGTTCTCACCTCTCCTCTTCCTTTTAGGCTCATGTGTGGCTCAGGCTCCCCTTGGGCTGGAGCTGGCAGAAAGCAGCATGCTGGTGCCTGGGCTCGTGAGTGCCCAGGGGAACTTTCCTGTGGGAAGAGCCTGGCAGTGCTGGGCCCTTGCAAGAGGCTGGAGCTTGCAGCACTGACAGCCATAGCAGCTTGCACTGTTGCCATAGCAGGAACATGCTAAAAATTCTGCTTAAATAGCACTGAATAAAGCACAGGATAAAGGCTGGTGCAGCAACCTGCACACTTTTAAGAAGGGGGTTTTGCCCCAGGCCTTCCTTTGGCGATAGAAACAGTTTTGTACTTTTAAACCAGTGCAGATTAATTCCATCTAATTGTTAAGTTTTCAGTGTCAGATACCCCATTGGTGGTGTTACAGCCCACAGCCATCCTGCCAGAGCAGGGATGTGCCAGTGGAGACTGGGCTTGGCTCCTTTCTCTGTGCTGCTGTTACACAGCAGCTGCATGCACACCCAAGGGAGGGTGTCTGAAGGCTGCAGTGATGCTACTGCCCATAAACAACTGGGGAAAAGCACGAGATGGCACTGGCAGCTCAGGTGAGTGCCTTGCCCCTGACCTGCAGAGCTCTTGGTGGCCCCTCCCCAGCCCAGCAAGTGGCATCCCTCAAGGGGACACCTTCTCCTCTGACTGCCACTGGGGCACACGTCCTGTTAGACTTGGGAGACCAGAGCCAGGAATACTGCAGTTAGGCCACAGCCCCGTACATGTCAGTTGTGGCTGCATTTAAAGCTACAGTGTTTAGGGGCAGGCATCAGCAGTGAGAATGTAGCTCAGCTGAAAGCCCAGTCCATCCTCCCGGGCAGTGCTGACACCCACGCGCACCAGGCAAGGAATGCTGCCTTCTGTTGTCCCAGGCTGGCTTCACAAGTGCTGTGTGTTCCCACCCACTTACCTTCAGGGAGAGGTCAGCAGTGAGTCAGGCTGCAAGTGAATGTCGCCAGGCGTGCAGGACGAGCAGCAGAGTGTGAGTGCTGGTGAGGAGCACAGGGAGCAGCCCTCGGCAGTGACACCGGCAAACTCCCAGCCCACGGGTCCCAGGGAGCTCCTGCTCTACTATGAGGTGATGCATGACTACAGCTGTTGCCAGCAGCTGTTTGGCAATGATACCAACACCCTGCCCAAGCACTTTCGGTCACCCTGTTCATCCCAACACTAGAGAATCCCACTCCTTTGGGTGGCTCCATTGCACTGATCCTGTTTTGTAACAGGTGATCTGAGCTCATCTGTAGAAGAATGTGTTTGGCATGCATCCCTGAGGAGTGGGGCAATGCACAAATAGTCTCCTGAGAAATTCACTTGCTCTAGGGAGTGGGTCCAAGCCACAGGGAAGCGACCAAGTAAGACACAACCATGATGCGACGCTGAGAAACCATCCCTGAAACATGTGCAAGAGAACAAGCTTTTCTGAAATGCCATTGCAGCCAAGGTAATGTTTGACTGATAATAAGATACATAGCTGACTACACAGGGATCTGTGTTACCCAGTTCTTTTCAGTGCAAAATTCAAGCCAAATTGCATTTTTATCTCAGGGACTAACCCTGTTTGGGATTCTCTCCTTACTGTAGGTTTTTCTGAGCAAGAATGTGAATGGCATTATAAAAACTAGAAATCCCAGCTGTAATGAGCTGACCTTACTGCTTCCCCTTGACTTCACTGGAGGTGTGTTTACCTCAGTGCTGAATTTGTTCTCCTGGCTTCCATCCCAGTGTTTGGATCCAGCCTAGAAATTACATAATGGGGCTGTGATCCTTGCAGTGTTTGCTGCCTTCTGTTTCTGTTCTGTTCTGAAGACCAGTAGTACATGGTTTACAGGAATGCCCAAAAGTGAGACATGCAGCATATTTAAACTGTGAAAGGCATAAGCTTTTCAAACATTGTTAAACAACAGAACCGCCACCAGAATGGGTACTGGAAAACAGGTTTAAAAATATCAGGAGGAAGAGAAACTTTGTTTTTCAGGACTTAACCTCTAACTAATCTAATTCAATTAAGATTAAAAACAGCCTTCTCTTTGGGGAGAATACTTTATGAATACTTAGGGCAGAGCACAGATTGAGATGATACGATAGACTGCTCAAAATACACCTTTTCCCATATTCTTCTAGCTGCATTACACTAAATTAAATTAGTGTAAATGGAACACCCTGCTCAAAAAAGAGACTTTATAGAGTTTTTTAAAGCATGTTTATGTGACTGCACATAAATGTTTGTGTAAAAAGGGAGTTATGACAGTTTATACCACAAAGGTTACAGTAAGAAAAAGCACTTCTTTATGACAATAGTTCACAAATTCACAAGAATCACTTTAATATACAAAGCAATTACTACCATTCTGAAACACAAAGCAGCTAATATGTACATAGTGTTAATAAAATGCATTATAACCCAGTACAATTCCTTTTAAACACAGATAAAGCACAAAAAAAAAAAAAAGAAAAGAAAAAAAAAAAGAAAAAAACCACAACAGGGATGTTTCTAGATTTTTGGGGAGATGTAAAAAAGCTTTTATTTTCCCCCACTGATGGATTTCCATTTAGTCTTTTTAACTTCCACAAGTATGTGGGAGTCAAGCTCAAATACCCTGTTCTGTGCTGACATGGTTTGGGTAAAGAATCAGAAATGCAGATGAGGTGAACATACTCTTTCCAGCTTACACTACAAAGGGAGAAAAATACCCTCGTTCTGGAAGCTTCCCTGAAAAACATTGTTTCAAAACAATTTCAAATTATAAATCCAGAGTAGAAACAACTAATTTCTGAAGTGAACAACCAATCTGTGGAAAAAAGTCTGTGGAGGGGCTGGCTGCCAACTAGCACCTCTTCTTGTCCTGTTCCCATCCCAAGAAGTCCATTATAAGCAGCACAGTTTCAAATCTCATTTAAACTTGAAGTTGTAGAACATTTTAAAATTAAAGTTTTAATATAAATAAATGCAATTCAACACACAAAAAATGGAGTGGCACCTGGATAAAACACAACTTGTGGAGAGCACCCAAACATCCTTAGTTGTTAAGAGTGGCCATTTCCAGATAAGCAACTGGCTCAAGGCCTGCCATCCCCATGCTCTCTCTCAGCTATCCCCTAATTTAGAGGAATATGCAGCTGAGGGTGAGTGAATGCTCAGCTTATGGAGTGTGCCAGCCATGGGTCATTCCAGCCTGCCCCTGGCCCTTTCCCTGCCAGCACACAGCTCCCGAGGACAGCTGCCTGCTCCTGCTCCTCCTGCTGAACTCAGCACATAGCAAGCCACAAACCTGCACTGCAGGGCCAGAAAGCAAACAGGTCACTCCCTTCAATTTGTGCTATGCCAGCCAGCCCAAGCACATCTCTCTGCAGGCCACAGCTTAAATACATTTTAAAAACACATTCCAAGGCAAAACACTTGAAATGCAAACCCTCTTTACACCACCTGGATCTGGTCCCTTTTCCCCAAAGATTCACACACTTAAGTCTATCTATCCACAGACCTGAACCTGCCACAAGCACACAGAAGATGGATTTCAGCACCCTCTCTTCACCAGTCTGGCTCCTTCCAGACCAACTGAGCTTCAGGATACATTCAGGCTTTTGTAAAATCAGCTTGCAAATTAGCTCAGACAAAAGAGTTCCCAGCAGACAACAGAGAACCATCGATGTACTGTATGCTTTTTAAAACCTGCTCACAATGACAGACTTCAGGGTTAAATTATGATCATTCCTGCTAAAGAAAGCTGGTTGTGCTGTGCTTTTCTTTTCAAGCAAGGTGACACACTGTCAATGTACCTTTACTTCCTGGTGTTAAATTACTGGAAAGCCTTTCGATTTATTTTCTTGGAATGCAGCTTGTAAAATCCGCAGACAAATCTCAAATTAAGAAAAGTAACCTCCCTTTCCCATATGGGATCACTGAACTAGTTCTACTCTAAAAATAATTTCACATCCATCCTCTACATACTGCTCCAGACACCACACGCCTGATTCCTGCCCCTCAGCTCTCCTGCCCTTCAGCAGCAATGCCTGCTGGGCACCAGGTGCTGATCTGCAACTTCAATTAGCCAAGGAGCCAACTGCTGTGGAGGAGTGAATTGTGTGCAGGCAGCAGGATCACAACAATTATGCCAGAAATCTTCTCAGGCAAACCAAATTTACCCTAATTTTTCTTTCTCTGTGTTTTGTTTGTTGTTTTTTTTTTTTTTCTTTAAAAGTGCACATTTTAATTAAACATTTACAAAGAACATATTGTAACAAAAATAAATACATGACCTTTTAGTTGGATCATTGGCAAATGTTACATCACTAACTAGGCTTCAGGGTAAAAAAATTACAATAAAAACAAGGTCTTACAAAATCAATTAAATCCTCTATGAACTATCATAGATTTGCAACCACTGATATCGAACTTGCTTTGATGGGTGGATTTGTCTTTAAACCACAAAAAGCACTGTCTGCCATAAATGAAAAAACAAAATAAAAAAGCAGGTGCCAGTTTTCACTAACAGATGACTAGTTGCTGCTGCAGTTTACTGGAAGCCCAGATTTAAAAAAAGCAACCTGTGGTACAAATTTAGGTCAGAAACTATCAGGGCTGTTTTTCCTTATTAAATCTTTTTTTTTTTTCCTGAGCCTCTTAATGATTCCAAACACCCCACCAATTTTCTGACCAATATACAAGTACCAGAGAAGACAGTGATCTCCAATGCAAATGCCAGCTCCAGGCTAGCCAGAACTACAGGTGTCTGAGCAGTCCTGACGAGCACAACAGGCTAAAATTGTGCTTTCAAATACAAGCAACGGTGCCGGCAACTACCCAGTGCTGGTGAAATTGCTGCCTAAGGAAGAATGCATCACCACTACCTCAGGAGGAAAACAGAAGTCTTACCAGTGGTTCCTTTAGAAAATAACACCTTAACAACCTTTCCAAATGTTTTGCCTTTGATATATAGCTGCCAAAGAGAAAAAAAGCACAGAAGTGAATTACTCTGGGTGGTGGTGGTTGTAAAACAAACTGTTTACATAATTTCAAAAATCTTCATCAATAAAAAACAAACTTCACAAAAGCCACAAAAGATGAAATAAAATTATTGAAAATGGGTAACTGAGAGACAGCACAAAACAAATCAGTAATTAAGAGCTAGAATAACGCAGCCCAGAGCTACTGGGGTGAGGGGAAGCTTTCACACACACACGCACATCCACACACACCCAGACACACAGAAAAGTAAAAATTCTTTTTCTGACCTCCATATACTATAATACTCAGCATTCCTGACTTAAAAGCTCTCAGAGCTGTAGATTATATACTGTGTGTATATATATATATATGTACATATATTATACATATGTATTTTCCAAGAATATCTAAATTAAAAGAGCACCTTTGACAATATCTTAACTGCCTGATTGGTGCTGTCGTTTTGCAAAATAATGACATTACAAAAATTATATTTCAAACCAATTCTTGTTTATTATGAACGTAACGGATCTAGCCCTTTCTAACCCTCTCTTCAGGTAAAAGAGTCTATCAGTTCTTGAAAACTCACAACCGTGAGATATAAAACTAATCCTCCCTCCCCCTTGTCAGCATCATTTCCATCCTACTTCCAAACAGCCTTAGTCTATAGAAGCTTATCACCCCAACCTCACTACTTGGTAAATAACATAGGAACTGATTCCTGTGTCATATTCTTTCCCTTTTTGGGTCAATATGAATAGTAAAGCATGTATGGGTAGCCTAGCCAGCCCTGTACTTGGTCTAATACATTTTTTTATTATTGTAATCTATAATTTTCCTTAAATAAATTTGTGTCTCATAATCCTCAGTGCAGCATAAATAAAAATAAAGATTCTTGCAGACCCCTATGTACTTTGAATTACATTCCTTTTCTCAGTGGAACTGTACTTGCTAATGAAGTCTAGGCTAAAACCACGACAGGCCACTTGCAGACCACACGCAAACGGGTAACACAGTTCTCCTCTCGCTGCCACACAAGTTTGCACAAACTGTGTGTTAGGAGAACCCCACCTGGGCACTGTTTTAGGCTCCCATGCCCATCCAGCCCCCAGGCTTTGTGCCCAGTGATTACCAGCAAGCTCTGAACAGTGTTCATTACCCACTAGACACAGCTCTCAGAGCAAAACCTCACAGTTTTTGCAAACAGAACAGCCTTAATGTGGGCATATACAGCTGTTTCTGTGTTCCTCAAAGCTGCAGGAACCATTCCATGTAACTGCAAATGAGGCCACCATGAGCTTCATGCTTTACAAGAATGACTCCTGTATTACAACATTTCTACTTCAGTACTCGTTGTGGAAAATGTAACCGTTTTATATATTTGTATTCGCTGATTTTAAGAAACAGTTTTTTATAAAAGCACTGGTGAGAACTTAGGGTCTTCTTTAAATTTGCACTGCTAAACTAACAGCTTCATCTCCCATTAAATAAAAACAAAAAATCAACTCTCTATGGCAGATAAAAATAGACCATTTATAAACACCCACAAAACTTGTGAAAGTGAATTATTTCATATTTCTGATGCTTACGCTTTTTTCTTGAAATACAAGTGTAATTGGAAATTCTTGATAACTCTAGCTGTAACAATAATGCTGTAAGTTTAACCCTGCTCCTTTTAAATTAAGTCTCTTGGAAACTGAATGCCCCTCAAATGAGAAACCTAGAACTTTTAATACTGCTTAGGTGTTTGAGACTCAACTGCCCAGAGTCTTCCAAGTATTTTCCTTATAACGTCACACTGATTGTACAACCTTTTAGAAGCCTGTGTATGAAATTTATCTTAAATAGATATAGAGTGAATGGGAAAAAATATTAGCTAATACTCTGCTAGGCAAGGCACTGGTATAGACCAGAGCCTCATCCATATGTTTCTATACATAGAAGTTTGACCAGAAGCACAAAGTAAACTTACTCCATCAAATGACCCGAGTAAACACAGTGACAGACTGGCTTCAGAGGGCCAGTACACAAACAGCACATGATTCTTTTGGACACATTCTTTTTGACAACTTCTTGAGGATCTTTTTTGGTTCTTTTTGAGCATGATTCTTTTGAAGTCCTAATGCTTAGTACAGAGGTTTTTTTAAATATGAACTACCTTTTTTAACACCATAAATCTGGGAAAGACCACAGTTCCTAAGTGCACAGAAAAAAAAACCTGATCTTGCAAACATCTGAGGCACGTAAGTAATTTCAGTGGCAGGAATAGATTACTCAGTAAATCTGACCCTTTCCATGAAAAAATATCCCAAATAAATTAAGAGTTTAGCTAATCTGGCCAGGTTCAAATAATCAGTATTTTCCCTTTCAAAGCAGGAGTTGGAATATTCGTGTTTGAAGTCCTCTTGAATATTTGAGGTTGTCCTAGTAGTTATACTGAAATTTAATTTATGTATAGAAGGCAGCCTCAAAGTTCAAAAAAGAATTTAGCAAACCAGGCTGATATTTCTATTGAGCACAATAATTTCCATTGCATAAGACAGTGGTAGGGAAATAAAAACAACCTCATTGCTTGAGAGGACTTGAGACACAGACCATACTGTCTTCAGAGAGTACTTAAGTGGAGTTGGCTATGCTTCAACTGCTTAGTTGTTGTGCATACAAATAGGTAGTGCTGTAATGTGTTACCCCTGTTTACAGAACATCACAACTGCATCTTTTTTAAAATTTTCTTTCCCATCCAAATATAATTCCCCAACCCATATCCTATGAAGTTGGTGTCTGTTTTCCGTGCATTCAGAACGCTGAACGCACTTGCACACATAAGCCATGAGAATCAACAACTGACCAGTGAAGCTCATTTCAATGCATTTGTTTCTCAAGTATGGAGAATGTTTTACTAGTCCAGGAGGGCTTAATACAGATAATTGCAGATCAAAGCCCCTCCTGGGCTAGTCTGAAGAAGGTGTGTTCTCTCCACACCAAGAACATGGCAGTGAGGTGCCCTTGGTCTGGCATGCTGCTCAGCCATGTATTGGTACAGCTCAGCAGGAACGTGTCAAACCAGTGTGGCAACCACTGCTTCTTCATTGCACCAGACATGCTCCACCTGTGTGGCCCACTGCTCTCTGGACCAAGAGGCTGGGGTGGCTCTGTCTCTAAGGCAATGGAAAGAGCTCAGCACAAATCCTTGACATTTTACAAAAGGACCCTCCCCACAGTAACTTCCCAAGTGACCATTGTTATTCCTTGAAGAGGATCGGGAGACGAGAGAGAAGCCTGTTCTTCTTCATGCTGAGACTGATGATGAAATTCATCTTGTAAGGGGAGAAGTGGAGGCAAGTACTTGAACATTCACAGTTTGATGCAAAGCACAGATGAAGTATATCCTGTAGTTGCTTCAGGCAGTTTTGCGCATAGAAAAAAAGAAATGTTTAGAAAATAAAAAGTTTACTTTGTCTTTCTGGGTATAACCAGAACCAGTCTCTATCCCACCTGGACAAGTGAAAATGAGAATCCAAAATTAATCTGATTTGTGGCAGTAAAGGTCCTTAAGTGCTTTCAACTCCTCAATCAGTGTTTTGTTTTGGTTTTCAAGCACAGCCACTCGATTTTCTAGACATTTCACATACTCCTTTTTCTTCCTGCGACATTCACGTGCTGCCTCTCTGCAAAGCAAAAAAGGCCATTCAAATCCAGAACAATCAATTGCACACATGGGCTACCTAACTGCTTTCAGGCAAACCTTTACTAGTACTGCCATTTTCAGAATATGGAGGTATTGCTAAGAAATGCAAGTGAGGAAAAAACACTGAGTTCATAGCAACTGCTCCTCACAAATCACACACACTCAAGAGCCACGCATCATTTCAACATACAGATCCCAGTAAGACAGCGCCAGTAAAACACTATTATTATTATTATTATTATTATTATTATTATATTGTGAGCATAGGATCCTAATCAGGGATAAAATTTTGCGTGCAGGATTCATATTGGAACCTTTAGGCTGAGTAAAATGCTGCTGCAATAATTTGACTTTATTATAATCTATTATTCTTTTACAGTCTTTAACTTTTCCCTGTGAGCAGTCCAACAAGATGGATCAACTAGTGTAAAAAAGTGCTGTATTTAGAGCATTCATGTATTTGCTCTTGAGCAATGCTTTCATTTTAATAATGTCTGCATCACTGCAATGATACTATTAATGACTCAAATAAAAAACAAAAAAAAATGTCATTCTTTAGTCCCTGTCAGCTATGCCAAAAACAGACCTCAAGACAGTCAAACTTCTAAGTCTTGCTTGTAAAGAGTGAGCTGCCTGTAGGTAACTTGGTAACATACCAAGACCACCAGTGAAAAATACCAGAAGGTATTAATGTGCTGCTGAGCATCCTGAAGCAGGAACAGCAAGTCAGGAACTACCCTGCACAGCAATATAATGGCACCAATGTGCAAAGCAAGCACAAGGCTAAATGCCATGGGCAGATGGGAGCCCAGGCAGAGGGCTCTACTCCTGCAGTGCCCCTTGTCCAAGCAGCACTCTGCAGACACAGGGAAATAAACACTTATTTGCCCTGAACCTTCAGGTGCAAAGCAGAACAGCTCCAAAAAGGAGAGTCTGTGTGCCCCTTCATTGCAAATACTGCACACACTGGTGAGACAGTCAGTGTTCTGGGAAATGAGAGGACAAATCAGAACCCAGTTCCCCCCCTTATTAGATAAATAGGAGCTGTAAAAACAGAATGCATTCCAGGACCTAACTGATAAGAAGCCTCTGAAAGTAATTTCTGAAATTCAGCTCCACAAATGAGACAGGATGAAGAAAACAGCCTGTAAGCCCTGAAAGGACTCAGGTATCCATTTGTCACTCCCACAAATACAATTTCACATGCCTGCAGTGCTTCAGTAAAGCATGTGTAACATTTAGAATTTAAGTAATTTTGGGCCGTTCGCAAAAGATTAAGTACTAGGGGATCAGGAAGTGCCTCCCAGTGCAAACTACTAACAAGTCTCCTTGAGTGACAACATTTTCTTTCTGTGATTTTTTTTCCCCTTTAGGCTGTGTATATTAAGCCACCTCAAGTCTGTGTGTGCTAGTTGTTTATTATGAACAGGCAGAATTTTACTGAATTACAACACAGCTTTAAAAATGTAAAATTTATACAGAAAATTTGCACAATAATATCTATGAATATTTACACTATAATCCTCCAGTAAGTACCACCTTACCATCTGCCTCGCTATCCTTTTTTCCCCACTTTGCTATGGAGCTTAGATTTGCAAATATCTATTAAGCAGACAGGCTAAAAGCACCACATGCAACATGATACTGTTGCAAAAGCTGTCAATTTAACTCAAGTGGGGTAATTCCCCATTGTTTTTCTTGGCATTCACAAACACAAAAGCTTTCTTTTACTGAAATAAGACTGATGACTAAATGAGGGTATTCTGTGATTCTAATTAATTTTTTTTTCAAATGCACAGCCTGAAAGAGTGATATCCACTATTCCCTGGTATGAGAAAACGATATAAAAAGGGAGATGGGTGACATTCTGTACAAAAACCTTTTAAAAAAGTGACCTCTGCTGTTCAGCATTATTTATTTCATTAAAGCCCCTTGTATAAGCACTGCGTCTGCTCAAATAGGTTTTCATTATGTTCACAGCACAGCAACCTACAGAAGAGGAATGAACCTGCACAACATCAGTTTTTTCAGACTGACAGATGAAGTTAACAAGGTTTTCAGGGGGCTTCCCCTGCTCAGAAGGGCGGGAAGCATTGGGTTCTCAGTGTCACAGTGGAACACACAGGCTGCAATCTGTGGCCCATGTAAGAGTTCAAGCTTGGTGTGATGGGCCAGTTCAGGCCCACCCCTTCCCATTCCCACAGCAACAGACTTCAGGAGCTCAACTTCTCCCTACAGCTCCCTTCCTTTGCTGCCTTCACCCACTCCCACCTCTAAGCTTACACTGGATCCTACAGGACCAAGACTTTACCTTTCTTTTAGCCCCTCTGCTGCCACTACTGGCTCCACAGGACTTCAATCAAAGGGAATAGCTGCTCATTTAGCCTTTGCTTGAGCCTTTCAGCCCCTGGAGGAGAAAACCCAAAGCGGCTAAAAGAACAAGTGAGACAATCAAGAAAGTACTCACAAGGAGCACATGTGGGCCAGCAGCAAGGCTAAGGGAGAAAATCCAGCAAAGTAACCACATGAATGTAGTAACTCAAAAAAAGCAACTCATCTTAATGTTTGTAAGAATATATCTGCAGTCATACAAGTATCTCACTGAGTGCTTTTCTCCTTACCGCAACAACCAAATTCACACGCCTCACAGAACGAGTCTGACACTTCACTCAAGGTTTCACAGTCGCAACACACAGCACTAGTAGATGTGCATTTCTGCTTTGCATTTTTTAAAAAAGGCAAATTCTTCATGAAGCATTTCATAGCATGGCTAAGAAAGACCAGCACTCGACACTCTAGGCCAGCGCAGAGCTGCCTGGGCAGTGGCAGAGCTGTGGAGGTACGTGCCTGTTCTTCATCAGACGCACTTCCCTCTTGCGCGCGGCCTCCTCTGCCGGCTGGGTGGGCAGCGCGGGCGAGGACGCCATGACCACTCCTGGAGCGATGGTGCTGGTCGGGGCCGTGCGGATCTGGTAGGTCTGCACGTCTCCTGAGGCAGCTGCAGGGACACACAGGAATGGGACATCAGTGTGGTGACAGCGCTGTCACACGTGCTGTGGAGAGCGCCCGCTCACCTCTCTAACCTGTCCTGTCCCTGACACGGCCATCCCTCTCCCTACGACCCAGCCATCTCTCTAAGCATGCAGCCTAGGCCACAGCTCAGCAGGGACAGCCATCATCTGGGTCACCACTGCCACCTCAGGCTGCCTTTATTCATATATGCAAGGTTTTGGGCATTACTGCTGGAGAAATCTTCACTTGTGCTTAGTAACTTGATTAGTCTTGCAGTTTAGCTGTGCTTCTTTCTTCCTTATTACATTTTTTGTACTGCTCTGGTTTTTGGGCAATTCTAGCATTTTTCTAGAGAAGGATGGGGGTCACTATTTCTAGCTATGCTCCAAACATCTGCCTGGAAAAGGAGGAACTGCAGGTGTAAGTATCTAACATAAAAAAAGGTGCAAAAATGCAGCATTTAGTCCCACAAGAGATGAACAGTGCACTCTGTTGCTTCTCTAGAATGAGCAAGGCCTTGGCTTTTTTTTACTTTATTAATTTTAATCTTAGGAATGTGTTAATTTTGCCTGAGCTCACAAAAAATCACAATACCACCTAAAGAAATCATATGTCCTTAAGAACACAAAAACCCAAAGATCAATTCAACAACAGTACCCTTCTCTGCTATGCATTTTTACTGATGCCTGATAAACTCTTCACTGGATAACTTTCAAATCAACTACTTCACAGTCATAGAAGCAGGGGTACATTTCTGTTATTTTCAATAAAAATTTGGTAATACTTCTCAATTTTTAATAAACCAAAGCATGTATTTTGATACAATAGGTCCCCATAACTTACTCTAAGTGAAAATAGGTCTGCTAAGTTGAGGGCTAGACAAAACGATCACTTAAGGCACTCTCCTAAATTGTTCTGTGATTCCAAGACTCACTGATTGAGTCACTCACTCAGTGACTACTTACAAAAGTCACAGTAGGAAGAAATTATGAAAAAAGGGGAAAATTACTAATAAATTAAAGTGTCCCTTTAGAAACAATCAAACATCCTTCTCTCCTGTCTTTAATGTTTGCTTGAGATTTCCTATTGTTACACATATGGGAGAACTCAGAACTCTAAAGTGGTATTAGTTTTTGCAGAACATATAAAAAAATTGCATGGACAAAATGCAGGCAAGGAAAAGCAAAAATAAATATATTAAACCTCAAATATCCACAGTTTTACCAATCTAAACGGAAAGGCTCCAAAAATATGACAAACAGCTTTGTCCAGAATTTCAGTAATTTTATGGACTTATCTGTGCCAAAGCTGTTAATTCTGTTTCCTGACACATTTGAAGGAGTCAGGCTGGCAACTTATACCTGCACAGAGAAAATGTTACACAGAATGAGTGGCTGTGAGGTTTCTCACCTTGTACAACAACTTGGTTGCTGGGTACCAGTATCTGCTGTCCATCTGTGGTCTGTGCATATTGTAAAATGGTGGTGCCAGGCTGGGTTGCAGCTGCATTGGTCATTGTCAATGTCTGGAGACCTTGTACTCCATCTGTGCCATTGTTAGACAACTGGATTGCTCCTCCTTGGGTGATGGCAACTGCAGACCAAAAAAATCAACCCAGCATTTAAGACACCAATTCACTCATTAACTTACAGTATTAAACCTAGGTATGGAAGAATACTGATCTAAGCTAAATCCTTTGAACCCTTACACACACCCAAATCAGACACATAGCTTCAATGTACGTGAAAGAAATCATCCTTTGAAAGGTAAGTTTTCAAATGTTTGTGAGGGCCAAAACCCACAGCTAAAATACAGATTAGTTTCGCTAATAAAACAGAATTACATGGAAGAGCCACAACCCACCCCCAGGGAATACTTTTTAATTTGTTAAGATTTTCTTCTTGGTTGGTTTAGGTATTTTTCTCAGTCCTTAGTTTTTCTTGTCATCTGAAATTCCTCTCATCTTCTGTGCTTTATGCCCTTCAGTCTCCTCTGCTGCTAGTGCTATCCATCTTGTGTTTCACTTTCTTTTTTAATTTGACATTTTTTTCCCTTCCGATTGTGTCCTCCCTTCTCCACGACTTCCTCAGACCCTTACTAGCTGTTTTATCATTCATAAAGGTACAGTTTGGTGCACGCAGTCTTAACTTTGCTGGTTTTTTTCCTTTCTTTCCCCTAGTCCTGTCATGCAGGTATACTGGGACATCACCCCTTTTGAGTCACAGAATTCCACTGTGTTCCTATATACAGACACACCAAAACCTCAAGTGTCTGCACACACAGTTATTGTACAGTTATAACAGGAATCAGAATTAACCACATCCATTTCAATAAAATTAAGCAGGGTACAAAGCAAAGCGGTTAAGGAGTAAACAGAGATACAAAATTTTAAGGAGATTTTAAGAGACAGATATAAACAAGTAGTTCTTTTTCCCTTTTGTCTGTGTTGTATGTCTCCTGCTCTATGGTTAGTGTGAGACAGCATGTGTCTTATCTTTAAGGCCATATCCTCAATCATTCTTCAAGTCAAAACACTGTATCTATAAAATCTAACACACAAATATATACTTATATACTTATGACATATATTAATATTGTTTTTTTCCAAAAATGTAACTGCAGACCATAATGTTTTTTTCTAAGGATGAGGTTACAGCTTTGTGAACAAGTGTTAATGATCTGCCAAGAAAAAAAAGAAACTTCTGAATTGCCCCATCTAGTTCCTGAAGTGAAGAAGTTTATAATAGCATTATAGTTAGTTCCTGTTTTGCCTCAGGATGCATGAGCTGCACCAAGGGGCAAGCAGCCCCAGAATGTTAATGGGGCCTTTCAAACACTTACAATAGAAATGTGTTCAAAAGACCTGGTTAACAGTCAAAATAAAGTGATCTTTTTTTCACCTCCTGCTTTGTCCTAGTCCAAACAACAGTTACAGAAATAATAGCTCTTCATCTTCTCATCCCCACTTACTAGCACCACTGAGAAATTCAGACTACATACTGTACTGCCCACTGCTGGTTTGGTAAATGGGAGTTGGCACCGTGACAGTGGCGATGGCAGGTGCTGCTGTTTCCTCTTCTGACTTTTCTTCTTCGATCCTTGGCACTCCTGGGGCGTCTGAGGACAAGTCATTCAAAATTTTTCTGGCAAAGACAGTGTGTTGTAGAGATTTTAATAAAAATTGGGGGAGAAAAATAGTCTATCTGATACACAAGGCTGGGGAAAACTGTGAAGTGCAGCAAGCCAGCAAGGAGAATATGAGTGGAGAATGAAAACCACAGACTATCTCCAAACTCTTATTGGAGAGGATTGTTCAAAATGCCAAGCACTGATGAGCAAGGGAGCCAGCACAGAACAGCTGTGCTTGTCAAAACCCATGATACAGCTATTACAACCCTTCCTTTCTCTTCAGAGCATGTTTCTCTCATCCATTTTTATTTGTTTCCTGCTTTCAGATATATAAATATTTGGAAAAAATAAGTCAGAACCTGTCTCCTCACTTACACTGGGTGAACTGCTCCATTTCAAAGACTATAAACACCTCAGCCAGAGAGCTGAGTACCAAGGGAGTTAGCAGGAATACTTGCAGACAGCCAGCAGTTCATAATTTAACACCTGCCTGGGAGACAATACCCAGTGTTTGAGAACAGTCTCACAGTTATGTTCACAGGTGCTCTGCCTGAGAAAGTTCATGGGTAAAGGAAAGAACATATTGTTTCATTATTTCCATGAGCTAATTATCCAAAGTCAAAACTTTTAAAACATCACTGCTACAGGTCCCACTGAACATGACTGTAGACTGACCACAGCAGTCACTGCAATTTGCATCACTGAGATCAATCATGTCCTTCCTCAGAGGACTGTTAGGCTCCTTTCACTGCTGGCATATTCTATTATGTCACAGCAAAATGCAGTAAAATGCCCTTAGGTAAAGGGCAATATTTTTTTAACTCTCCTCCTATGTTTTCCATTGGACTGGCAAAGGAACTCGGTGGCAAAGCAAACACAGCTGTAGACCCCAATTTCCAAGACAACATAACTCAGACAAGCCTCCTAAGGCTGTGTGGGCCAGAACAGCTGTATGAAGCTATCTGAGGGGAAGAGCACTCATTCTGCTCAGCAGCCTGACAAACAGAGCTTTGCTGTTGCTGTTTTGACTTTGTGTGCATGCAAGAAACCCCAGCACTGGGCAACACTGTATGAATAACCACTTGGACAAATAAAAAATTCCCATCCAAAGAGTTTGCAGTCTAGGTGTTAGATCAGAAACTAGTGAATGAAACAGATGAAAAAATATGGAGAGAGCCAGGATGATGAAGAAAAAAATCCAAGGAGATTAAGAAAAATCACTTTTAACCTCATGACATTATTAAATCGTGGTTAAAACCTACCTTTGCCATCATAAAAATGGATTTAAGGTAAAGGATAAGGTGGCAGCTTTACAAATACAGGGGCTATGAACTGATGGAATACATGATGTACTTGAGTGGCAGAATCACAGAGGAGTTTTTGTGGAAGAGGTATGGCTTTCAATGCTGTGGACATTTCTGCCCCTATCTTGTTTTGGGCCAGTTACAGCAGGTTGAGTCTGGGAAGTCTCTAAAGACAGCAGTGGTCTGGCTCAGCCTTTCTGACCTAACCACCACCAGCCTGGAGTCTGAGCTGCATATACAAGTTTTGCAGCTAACAAATGCTGCTGTGTCACCAGGATCTGGTTTGAAGACAGAGGCTGTGTTGTGGCACCAGTGCATGCAAGAGAGTCCATCTCAATGAGAAGTCAGCATGCACAAGCACCCTCTTCTCAGTTCTGCTGCTTGTTTACTTAGCTCTGTTTTCTCACCATATACAGCCACTCTTCCATATATAGTAAAATCAAGTGTCTTGCTGCAGAAGCAGACTGAAGGGAATCTGTGGCAGCCTTGGAGTTAACACTGCTACTCACAAATAAAAATATTTTTCCAGATCTATTATGGCTAGGAATCTTCAGCAATGATTTTCACTATCTTTGGCAGAACAGCATTGAAGGCTGCTGGACAAGGCAGACAATCTCCCAAGTGTTAAAAAAGTACCATGGTTGAGATATGCTCAGGCCCACAGCCCGACTTCTATTTCCAAGGCTATGCTCATAAAGAAAAAAGGAGCATCTGAATTTTCTAAAGCACCAGCAACTCACAGGTCATTTAAAACCTACTGAACTCCAGAGCTGCTCCTTAATGCTATTTAGCATATTTTAAGAAAGAAAGTGGGATTTAGTACAGACACAAAAAGCTGTACAAAAGCTTAATGAATAAAGTAACATGACACACCACGTGAAGGAGAACCTCAGCTGGTTTTGCCATGAGAAAGAGACACTAGATACCTTTCACTATATTCTACTCATATACTGACTTAACTTTAAACACAAACTATTTTGCTCAAGCAGAAATTTTCTCTGAGCTATGGAACATCACAGCTTCCTTAAGTCTCATGGGAGAAAGGAATTAAGTTTGATTGCTGCTAGCATTTCAGCAATAATGAAAACCAGTAGAGTTGATTTTTTGCAGACTACAGATTACACAGAAGTCCCTTTTTGCAAAGCTTCAGTGTATTTTGTATATTAAGTATTCATTAAAGCTATTTCTAAGGCATCTATCACAATGATACCTCAATTTTCTGAAATGTGGAAATTAGCATGTTCTCAGCTCACTTCTCAGTTACACTTCAACTGAGTGTAACTGCTGAGGTTTCTTCCTTCTCCCGCTTATCTCTTTGCATCCTATTCCACAGATATATTCCATACTCTAATTGCAAGACATGATAGAAGAGAGATTTCAGTTAAATGGTAAATCTAAAAATAATAAAAATACAATCCCACTGTTTGTTTCTCCATGTCAACACACCCATCCATCAAGAAATGCTTCTGCTTTAAGCTCCATACCTGTAGGAGGGTCGTCTGGACAGGATTTCTCTTCGTTTCTGTGAGTCTGTGACACTGTCTACTGATTCCTGTGAATCTTCACTTTCTGCTATGGTGGAGATCTGTAAATAAGAACAGCAGTCAAATTTAACAAGACACTTCCAATGCCTTCATTTTAAGGAAATGTTGATATCCTGTGAAAAACACTACAATGCAAGTGCTCTATCTAGATAATGAACAGAAAGTTACTGCTTAGTAATAGATCCACAAAGAATGACCACAGTCAGTGATCTACCCATCAGAATGATCTTTACAATTTCAATACTCCAGCAAGAAAACCTAAACATTAATATCATACAGTTTTTGCCTTCTGTGATGTTTTGTTCTCATCCATTGCAAGGAAATAAAAGATTTTTTTAGTAAAATTTAGGGAGAGAATAAGTAAACAAAATTAAGGTAGCAGAAACATTTGGAAATAAAGAATATAATAGTGAAAAAACATCAATTTATAAATAATGAGGTAGATATGTTAAAGAGACATTGTCTTTTATGGGGGAAATTGCCAGGAAAATGTCATACATGAAGATATTAAAAAATAATGTAGTGCTGCAATTCTGAGTACCTGTGCTAAAAAACCAGAATGTTTATGCAGGAAAGCTAAAATAAAATGATTGAAATTATTTTAATATTATTTTAAATTCAAAATGTGCATGACAAAATATATAAAAGCTAATTATGCTTATGTGAGAAACAGAGCTCATATCCTGACAATTTATGCACCGTAGAGAAGATTCTTAAAGGCTCAAAAATCTTTCTGGCACTCACATCTCATAATTGTCAGACAGAGGGCCTGAATAAGTCCAAGGCTGACTGTGAACTACTGGACTCTGAATATCAAAACATGATGGATCTGCACTGAACCAGGTGAATTCCAAGAATGGCTTCATTGTCAGTCCCTTATCTTCTACCTCCAGGGTAGCAACTTGTGCACTTATCTCAAAACTGCTCACCTCTGATAGATTAAAACTCAAATTTTGACTGCAATGGCTGAGGATGGTAGAGCCTGCCACAAACTCAGCACTGAAGCTGAGAAGGAAAAAATAATGATTATTATCAGAATGGTCTAGTTTTAAATTACACATGCCTTATTTTTAAAAATAATGCCCAGTTGAATATCTCTATCAAAAAGTCACATTACCTACTTTTTGAAATGAAACATTTTTGAGCTAATTGTTCTAACAGCAAATGAATAATGTGCAGTCCTTGTCCTGTGGTGTAGCTGCTGTACACCAAAGAATTTCTGCATTCAGTAACACCGAACTTCAAGTGGATAAAAAGCAAGTTAGAAGTTGTACAGATTTCAGACTACTTGTCTCCTATCTTCAGGCTACCTCACCATATTGCATTACCTGTCTTGCTTCAGAGAAGAGAAAATGCTAAGGCTTCACAAAGCACACAACACTCAACCTGCACATTTTAAAACCATTTCTATGTAAGGACCATTAGGTTTATTTTAAAGAACCAGTAACATACAGAGACCTTTACCGTAAACCAACGCAAATATTTCTTACTGAGCAAAGGCTCTCATTCTAGGATACTGGTCTCGTTAATTATGAAAATTACAGTATTAAAAAAAATCATCTTTTTGTTCACTTGAGAATAGTATGAACTCTTACTCAATAAAAATATATGGAAATACAGTATAGAGAAAAAGCAGAGTAATACTGTAGGAAAAACCATAAAGCTGCTAAACTCACCAAACAAATTCTAGAGGGAAATGAAACTCAGCAATGTTTGAAAATGAAAAGTGGTTAAGCCAGAAGAGAAAAAAAGTCAGAGTAGCAAATACTGTACAAATTTGCAAAAACACAATCCAGGACACAAATACAGCACAACAACAGGCCTATTTCAAAGGCCCAATTCACATTTTAGGAATTTCTTCAGTCAGTACCTGAACTGTCTGGACCTGTGGAGACTGAATAACTGATGGCTGGGCAGCCTGAATCACTCCATGCACTTGAACCGTCTGCCCATTGGGCAGCTGAACTAAGGTCACCGTGGGGGCAGAAGATGTTGCATGAGCTGCTGGCATAGATACCTGCAAAGAAGAGACAGTGAGCATAAATTAGGTTATTGCAAAATCTCCTTAGTTCAGTATTTGTTTTGGTGAAAGAACTATGCCTTTTCTAGACCCCAGTCAGATGACCCAAATGTTTCAGCGTAATATAAAATCCCCTGAACTGCCTGAGCCCAACACCTGACCTACTTCACAAAATAATCTAAAGCAGAATTTCTGCAGGCTCAAACATAATTTGTAAAATCACTGACAAGAAGAAGAAGAACACAACTGCCTCTATTTTGAGGTAACCTGATACAAATACATCATTACCTTTCACTTACTTCACTTGGATACTGCTCAGACTCGGGTGTACTCCTACAGACACTGCTGAGTAAGAGGCAGAAACATATGGGAGTGGAGCTATTTTTGTTCTCACTCAGGAAAATGCAAAGAATTTGCCAGATGTAAGAACTTAACATTTTTAGGGAATCATACCTTTCACTTTCTACAGATAAAGCCATATGAGTAGCTGGCAAAGTGCATGTAAATGAGGAAAACTGACCATGTGTTCAGACAGAAAAACCCCATGAGTTTGCAGTGGAAATAAGTATTTTGCAGGCAGTCACTGTGATTATTGTGTAACAGGTCAACACAAACTCTGCTTTCAGGAGTTATTTCTATGAGGCACAATTGCCCATGTTTAAACCCAACTGTTTCTCCAGGCAGACCTGCAGGCACGGCAGCCATGCCAGCAGGGATACGCAGATGAGCTCAGCATGGCACATTGTGGCTCGGGCTCTGGGGACAGCAGTAGCCACACACAGCTGCTCATGCCACAGTCTCACCCTGGCAGGCCACAGCAACTTCTCTGGGTAGCTGAATGCCACGCACCAAGGCTGCTCCATGGCTGGGCACACGCCCAGCACACCCAGAACTTCCAGCTGTCTGCTGACAGGATGCCTGGCTTAGGGGCTGGGGGCTCCTGAGAGGCTGCAGGGTGCAGCGCACCCTGCCCCAGTGAGTGTCCCTCCCACACTCCCTGGCCTCAGGGAAGGACTGCAGGCAAGCCTGAGCTGCTCTGGCAGACCTCAGCCAGGCCATGGCTCGCTGACTCGCCAGCTCTCTTCTGGTTACCCAAGTCTGCAAAACCTAACAATGCTCCAGGGTTCAAGAGCATTTTAAAAGATATTCAATCCACATAGCTGTAGTGCAAGAAAGGGCTGCACTGCTGTCCCACCTCATCTCAAAGCGCTGCTATGCACAGGATGCAGAAGGAATTCTTCTGCTGTCCCTGTGAACACGTGATTCTCAAAAAGCTGCAATAGCTCATCTCTGAACTTTCATAAACATCCATCACTTACAATGAAATCTTGTTTAACAACAAAATTAAAGGGAATTACATGCAGACCTCTCTCCTCCACAGCTGTCTCTCCGTAATCCACCAATTTGCATTTGCTTTTACCTTCCTTTTTCAGGAAAGCAGATGCAGCATTACATGGTGCTACTTAACTTGCATCTGAGAGAAAGTGGGCTGAGATTAACATGAGAGCCCTTTCCTCTGACAAATTATATTCCTTTGCCAAGTGACCTTTCTCAATAATGCATGTCTGACTAAACAGTCCTTGGCAATGACAGCAAAGCTGATCAACTGGAGGCCACTGTGGTTGGATTAAGCCCACAGCAGAGTGTAACTTCCGCACATGTCTCTGACTCATACCTTGTGGAACTGGGACGAGTTTCCTTTTGCCTCTGAAAGCTACCCTGAACTCACTAAAAATTCAGCAATTAAACTAAGCTTGCAAAAGGGGTGACCTTACAAGAGATAATGGAAGAATTAAATTGGTATAATTAGTTATTTAGATTTGGCTAGGCCTGTGAGGGCACTCCCTAATGCCAATTACTGCCACTTCACTTATTAAAAGTATCATAGTAACATCACACTGATGTGAACAACACAAGGAATTATGTTTAGACTGTTTTATCACCTCCACAAACTCTGCACAGGCTGGGGAAAAGCCAAGGTGCAGATAATATAGTGAATGACAACATGGTGGTTCATGTGGATTTTAACCATACTTGTATAGTGTTTTCTTACTTGGAAAAACAGTCTCATTCAAGCACTGGGGTAATTATGTCCAAGTAAAGTGCATGCTACCCACTACATACTTTTAAGTTCAGCTCCCTGGAGGTTAGTATGTTAACACATAAATGTAAAACACTCTTGATTCACTGGACTAAACCTCAAAGCACATCAAGTGAGCAGCAGTTAACTGGTTTTGCAGGAGAAATAAACTACTTCCACTCAGTTCACATTGAAGTGTTATTCACACCACCTACATCCTGTGCCTAAGTTAGACAGTGAGAAAACTGCCCAAAGAGGCAAGCTGGTGCAGGGCAGCTGGTGGCTTGTAAATTCACACTAGAGCTTCACCCAACAAAATCATCCCGTGCATTTAAACAGCTCCAATCCCTACACTATCACTGAATGGAAATGTACCAACTACAGAAGGCAGGACATGTTTGGCCTTGTTTGGTAGTCTCTGGACTACCAAAAGGTGCAATGACTTTAAAAAGACACTAATCATTTATAGAAACTAAGTGATTTAACTGTGCCACTTAAAAGACACTCAATTCCATAAACTATGAGATCAAAATCACCTGTTTGGTCTTTGCAGACTACAATTAGTTTTCAAATTAAATGGTTACAGAAGAGAGCTAAACATATTCTGTAGCCATTCATACAATGGGGTTGCTTCTGCCAACCATCAGTGTATTAAAAAATGAAACCCAATCCCAAAATCAGAGATAGAGCTGGGATTGTGTTTCTTGTCTCTCCAAAATAATTTGGGGAAAACAAATTATCTACTTCTGTCTCTCTAACTTGCCAAAAATTCTGTGAAACTCTGGAGACAACAGGGTAACACGAGCTGTCAAGCGCCAGATTGTTCCACTTGATTGTAATGCTCATAATATAAATCCCATCTGATAAAATATTTTATTTGCTGCATTATTTATCTACATATTAGGTTTGCTTTCTTCAGAATTAAACTGACTACTACAGACAAGTTTTTAACAGAAAACACAACAGCAAGACAGTAGATTACACGTATTGAAATGAATACCTTTCAGTGGTATGGTTGTGGTAAAGAATGCTAGAAATATTTTTATTCATTACTGTGTTAACATTACACAATTTACACACATACAGTTCTCCAGAACTAACACAGCCTACTACTCTACTGTACTGCTTTAAAAATGCGAAGACAAATATGATAAGAACTATACATCACATGTGTTTCAGAATGTTATCAACAAAATCTTCTCTCAGCCCCGTGAGCAGACATTATCCCTCTTAAAAATATTAATCATAAGTAAAACTATTACACCATATGATTTTTATACCTGGGCTAACGTTGCAATCTGTGGTTGTGCCTGTACTGTCATCTGTTGGGTTTCTGCCTCTGTACCGGCTGCATCTCCACTCTGCTGGTTCTCTGCTCCAGATTCCATGGTCATTTAGTTACCTACAATCACAATATTTGTTGTAAGTCTGGGTTGGTATGAAAGTCCATTACTCTTGGTGAATCTGGCAGTAATCACTGCAGCTGCATTCCCATTACTACACACTGTTTTAATTTGCTTATTAAATGTCGCCAAATTATTAGTATTCAGGCAAATTCTTTTCATGCCAGGTGTTTGCCTCAGGTTGATTTTTCTGCGTGTAATGTTTCTGAAAAACAAGTCCAGTCTCCTCCAACAATGAGAACAGGAAAAAATGCATTTTGCTCATCCTAAAAAACCTGAGCAATTGCACTCTGATGACCTAGTACCTCTGCAATTTGGAATAAAGACCTGTCAGTATGTCAGGAAGGGCACTCCCTCAGTGCCAAGGTGACAACATGCCCTGTTACAGCCCTCCCTCTCCCCCCAGCTGCAGATATCCAACAGCAATTGTTCCTGCGCTGGGCACTCAGTTCTCAGTTGTCTCTGCCTCAACTAAATATGCAGCATCTCCATGCAAGTTCTTTCCATCCCCACGCTGGGTATGGCTCTACATCACAGCAACTTGGCCTCTTCCACCCAGTGAGTTTAAAGCCAGTATACAAAATGATGGAAGTTTCTACTTGAACCTTACCACAAATGTTTTTATATTTAGAGGTACACATTAGTTTGCCATAACTTAAGTTTTTTATGATATACAGCTCCTAATACACTAATATTTCTAAACACTAACTGAGCAAACCTAGATCATCAGAACATACAACTCTATAAAAAGAGGTTGCATAACTTCCAAACCCATGCACGTAGGCAGAGTGCAATGCCTGTTAAATTCTGCACCGATCTGAGAAAATCACTTTTCAGTTCTTCTTTAAGAACAGATATGAAAATACTTGATATTAAAAAGAACTTCAAAATACAAGGAAATTACATAGCAATGTTACTGTATTATACAGAACTCCAAATACCAAATATTAAGAATTAATATTAAGAATGGGTATTACCTCCATAGCCACAACACTTATTCTGTGTACCACCCCATGCTGCCCAATCTATTCTGGCCTCTGGCTACCCCAAGGCAGCACACCTCTCTTCAGAGCTGGTCCAAAACAACCATTAGAGCATTTCTGCTTTGGGAAGGGGCCTGGAGGCAGAGGATGCTCAGAGCAGAAGAAAGGTGGAAAGATGCAAAACAGCCTCTCTCCTTCCCTGGCCCACTGAGGAAAAGATTTAGAAGCATCAAGACAGGTGGTGGTACCACATCCACACTCCAGACATTCCATTTTAAACACAAAGTCAGGGAAGCTTCCATTTCAATGCAAACTATACCTCAGTGTTATAGGAAAGAGAATACCTTTTATGCTGCCTAAAATAGCAGAGTCACACTTCAACCCTGAATATGAAATGTCTTACAGTAAGCAATTGATCATCAAGAAAGATAAAACAGCTTTTCACAGTAGTAACTGCATCCTACATCGAAAGAAACCAAGTCAGTGTATATAAATCAAAATCTGTATATTTACTATTGAAAGTGACCATTCAAATGAGCTTGTGTGTGTGTCAACACTGAAATGTAAAGTATCCAATATTAAGTTCTAACATCAGTAAAGGAGAAAAAGAATTAAACCTGATTTTCCTTGAAAATTAACAATAAAAGAAAATATAGAATTTTTAAAAAAAGCAAATTAAACTATTCTAAGCAGTGGAATTTTGTTATGCCTCTCTCTCTAGCCAAGATTTCTGTACGACAAATCAAGTCTTTCCCATGTTGCATTTTATATTTCAAAAGGCACACAAGAAAACCCATGCACTATTAGTATCTGCAACACATTTATCCAAACAGCTTTTAAAGACTTAATTACAACAGTTTACATGGTTTTCTATCCCAACTTTAACACACAGGTCACATTTTAACACTTAGTCCTCCATGCTATGTGCCCATTTTTCTTTTGAGTATTCTGTATTTTGAAAACTACAAAACAGATAACCATAGGTTTCCCTTTGATTTTTACCATTATTTTAAATATTTCTCCAAGTAAGCAAATCAACAACTTTTTCCCAATTCCATGCATGTATCATGGTGACTCCAGTCAAAAGACTACGTCACTGGAACCATTTCAGAAGCAGATCTTTCACATCAGCAACATCTCCCAGCCAAGTCTCTCCAAAGAACTTTTGAACACAACTTTCCAGCTACAAATCCAAGTATATTGCAAAACTAATAATGCTTTTGTTTGCTGACAGAAATTGTGACTCCAGCATGGAGTGAATTTGGATTAGAAATGGATGAAATGTGCAAGTATCAGGTATTTAGCAATGATCACAGAGGTAAATGTGGTGCCAAATTCCTGCTGATAAATGCAATGTTTTCCTAGGAAGAATTTCCAATCCTCTCATACACCATTCAGCAAAGGTCCTCTGTCTTTACAAGCTTGGCTTCCACACTTGCATCATCTTTTGCATATGTAATTAGCAAGAGGATTAACTGTTTGAGATACTCCCTCTTCTGCAACACCAACATTTCAGAAATCAAATTCTTAACACAAATTGCAAACACCTAAGAGGAACTTCCTCATTTTGCAATGTAAGAACCAAGCAGTGCAGGAAGCTGGCTGCAAGATTTACATATTGACACATGCAGTTGAAGTGAGCTTCTAACAACCTGCAGCTTTTTGACAAGCTCTCAGTCTCATGTTGTTTACAGATTCTAAGGACTCTGGTTCAATTTAACTTGTACTTATACATCACAGTATTTGAATTCTAACAGCTTTGCTACTATCTTTGACAGTAACTTGTGGGAAAAAAGAGGAATCAGATTTTTGAACATTAAGGCATCATATTCCAGAGACATTGGTCACTGCATTGCTCCATGTTTGGGTATGATCCAGATTGCCAAGATGACCAGGACCATGCACACAGAACACAAACACTTACTAAGTTGCGTGTATGGGTAAGGCCAGGACAGCTGAAATTAAGGTTGCCAATTCCTATCCTTGCAATTTACAGTGAAAATATGCTTGGTTTGAAAACTTAACCTCCCAACATATATAAATGAATGCCAATCTGTACATCTTTCTGAGCTTTCAAACCCCTAGTCTAGACAAGCTTTGCTGACATGTATCCCAGCATCTTTCTGTTCTCATGGGTGCCACCTCCTCCTTTTATTTCTCTGTTCACAGAGGCCCACCCTGCTCCCTGGCACTGATTTCCCTGGCAGGCACCACACCAGCACTTCTCAAATGAAGAGAGGGATCTGAAAAGTGTCCTAGTGGGGACAAATCTCCAGGCATGGACAGATATGGGAGCCAAGGGAGTACACTTCTCATTTTTCCTTGCTTCCAGGCTACTTTCCAGCTTGTCAGGAGAGGACACCCACATGCACATACTTTGAGAAAACATTAGTAACTGCAGTATTGCACCAAGTATTCTAAATGAAACTAACTGAAAATAATAGCTATTAACAACCAGAGTTGGAAAAACAGAGACTGCCTGCCTAAAACATCTTGGGTATGAACTCTGAACACCAGAAAGCTGAGGAGACTACCTGGTTAGAGATGGTTGAACTCATGACTTTTGCAGTGCACAGCTTTCTTCTTTAGTTCAAAAGTGGCAGCAGTATTATATTTACTAATGCTTTTTCCTAATAACTTACTTACTAATGATCTCAAACTCTGGAAGCAAAGAGCCAAACAGTGAAACATTCAGCTGAAGATGGGGATTTATTTTAGCTAAACCAAGACTGGGAGAAAGGAGTTCAGCAGAGCAGAACTAACTGTCCCAGCTGAATTTACACCATGACCAAAGAAGACAGATTCTACTAAAACAAACAGTTGCAGAATGCAACTGAACTACACACACTGCAGAAAAATCCAAATAAACCTGTCTCCTTAGTTGCACAAGGCTGGAAGGGGCACTTAGCTAAGGACTGCTGCAGAGAGATCACTTCAGATTTCCCCTTGATCACCTCAGATTTCCCCTACAGAGTCAGACTACAACAATAATAAAAAACAGGGTAATCTTGAACTACTATATTTGTGTAGCTGGACCCTACACATCACCTGGATTACAATGCAGAGACTGGGAGCCTGTATTAAAAATGGATTCTGTGAAATTTGGGTATTCAGAGAAAACAAGGCAATGAAAACCTGTTTTATGAAGAGACTAGATGGATTTTTATTATTTATCCCAGAAAGGAGAAAAATGTTTCAGATTGATGCTACTGATAAGAAATTTATTAAGGCTTAAACATGAGTTAGGCACTTGGGTAAAAAGAATAATCAAGAATATGTTGAATTAGTACTTTTTTTCATGCCAAAAAAAGTGCTGAACCAAAAGGAAGATAAAAACCTAATGAGTCAGGATTTAAATTGATTTCTAATCTTTAAAAATTCAAATAAATGCTTTTACGAGTGGGGAAGATTATATCCCAAGTAATTTTTGCAGGTTGCAGTAGTCTTTTGAGGTACCTACTGATCTTAACTTGGAGGTCTCCAAGATCTCTATCTTGGAGACAGGATGCTGACCAAGGTGCTACAGGTAATGCTAACTCCTGTAATCCCTGATAATTAAAGTGACCATCAATGCTGTGCATCCAGAGCACGAGCTGTTAGTTACCTCCTCTCCTACCTGCCTAGAGTCAGGATAAAATACAATTGTCTTCCAACAGCTCTCATCTCATCTTCTTCACTCTTCAGTATCCTTCTCTTGGGATGTCTGGTCTGTCTGCTCTATTTTGTTTCCCTACATCTTCTTGTATCTCCTGTCTGATTTACCCCCATGAATTTTAGCATGTGTCCTAAAGATCAGGCTCTGCTCCTTGGCCTCCTCTTGCTCACACAAGCTGTGGAGCTTTCCTGCTCTGCAGACAGGCTGCTTTTCATCTCCCAAGGCAGACTGGAGAAAAGAAAGGTGGAGATCCTTTCCCAAACACCATCAAATCCAAGAATCAAACCACATTGTGGCTGTTAGCGCAGATAAAACTTCCCATCCACTTTCATAAGCAAAAGTCCTTAATACCCCAAAGCTT